GGAACGCTAACGTTTCCACATGTTTGTGGGCAGTTTTCTAAAGAAATATTTAAACTTGCTGTAACAGTAGAAGATGGTAATATGACCATCATCACCACCATCCGCAACAACAATTTCTTCTGCATAATTTTTTGCCTTGAATCTTGTGTTTTTGTTTTGGATTAAGCTACGTTTACCCTCCTCCGTTACACCCTCCATTACACACACCCATCTCCGTTACTTTGTCGTTAACGCCCAAACACACCCAGCCCTTTCATTCTCTTTCTCCTTTCCTATCTTGGTAGTTCCAATCGATTCGCGGACATCTCCGATCATTCCCCTATTTTCTCAAATGGTCCACCGCTGCCATGATGCTTTCCCATTTTTCGTGGGTCGTTGGACAGCAGGATATCTGAGGAAGAAGATTGTGCAAGAGCAAGAGCAAAGACAAAGCAATCATCAATTGAAACAGTGGAGAGAGAATCATCAAATTTGTAAAAATTCTAACAAAAATTTACAAAAATTCATTATCTTCTTCCTTTTCTTTTTTTTTTTTTCTCTCTCTCTCTGGGTTCTCTGAGAACTGAAACCGGGGTTCTCGAAGAACTCCTGGAGAACCCAGATCGGGTTCTGAAGGAGAACCTAGATCTGGGTTCTCCAAGAGAACCCAGGAGAAAAAAAAAATCGAGAGAACCCAGATCTAGATGTAGAGGTAGCTCATTTGTTCTTTATTTTGATTATAAGGATTTTGTGACAGTAACAATAAAAGGCTCAAAATTGGAACTGGAAAGAATCTTGACGATTTTCACAACCATTGATTTCTCAAGCAATCGATTCTATGGGGAAATTCTTGAAGAGTTAGGAGAACTCAATTCACTTAAATTGCTAAACTTGTGGGGCAAATACCTCAAGGGAAGCAACTCAACACTATCTCAAATGATTCTTACATTGGGAACTCTGCGTTGTGAGGATTACCGTTGACAAAGAAATGCCACAACGAGGAAGAACCAGGAGGACCTCCATCAAAATTTGATGAAGAAGATGACTCTGCAGCACTCTTTAATTGGAAGTTTGCAGATGGAGAACTCAAAAAAGCAGAGAGGGGGAAAGGAGAGTAGAGAGAGGGAGAAAGGAGAGTAGAGAGAGCAAGAGAGCTGTGCTGGTAGTAACAGACAGAGACGGATTAAGTAACGGACAATAATGAGTGTGACGGAGTGTGTAACGTACATGGTAAATGTATCACCGTCCTTTTGTTTTTTAAATAAACAGAGATAGAATTGTATTATGTATATGCGGCAAGGTGAGTCTGGGCTAGACCTGGCAAACGGGCGGGTTGGGTTGGGTTAGGGTCGGGTCAGAACGGGTAACGGGTCAAAACGGGTTGGGTTAAAACAGGTCACGGGTCAATGAAGGCAGACCCTAACCCGCCCATCACGAGTCACGGGTCAACCCGCGGGTTGACCCAATTAATTTTTTTTTTCTTTTTTTCTCTGTAATTTGTACCTATTACAATTTAAATTATTTTGGATGGTTGATTGGTTTCACAATCCAAAAATTAACATTCAAATGCCAAATTTCATATAAACTAGTTAAGTAAGCATAAGTAAAATAGAGATCTCATCTCAAGAAATAACCAACAATAGCTTTTAAAATTCCATTGTTTGTATTCTTTCGGCATAACATAAAACTTGAAAAGA